TGTACATGCGTCTGTCTCCATTGGCTGTTCATACACCGTTCCCAATGCCTCACCACCACCGCCACTGCTGCTGCTGTTGCGACCCATCAGGAGCTCCCGCTGCTGGCGTGCGGAACAGCCAGTCTTCTCATCTCCAGCGGCTCCCAGATTGCAGCCCCGCTCTTCTTCGCCAAGGTGCAGTGCACGTTATTGGATTGTTTGTTTGTTTGTTTATTTGTTTTTTTTTGGTTTGCTTCTTGTTTCCTCTCACCTCCGCCACAACCTCTATCCTCACTCAATTTGCGCACACACATGTACACATGTTTACGTCCCCACTGCGCAGGTGGTTGACGCTGCGTCGAACCACGAGCACGGCATGCGGGACCTCAACCGCTCTGTGCTCATCCTCGGCGGTGTCTATCTCATCGGCGCAATCGCAGCTTTCACCCGATCATGGTTCTTCACGGTGCGTCTGGCGCTGTGTGTGTGTGCGCATGCGTGCGTGTGTTCATTTGTCTGTCTCTCTCTCTCTCTCTCTCTCTGTCTCTCTCTGTTTCTTTCTTTCTTTCTCTCTCCTTCTCTCCGTGTGTTCGGCTATGAATCAGAGAATTGGTGCACCATCATGACAGCACGACAAGTGACGTAATTGCTCTCATTCACCGTGCCCTTCTCCTGCTCACCATCAACAGTGGGCTGGCCAGCGCCTCGTCGCCCGCGTGCGAAAGGTGCGTAATAGTTGTGCGTGTGTGTGTGTGTGTGTGTGTATGTGTGTGTGTGTGTGCGAACATCTCGTCAGCGCTGCTCCTCATGCCAACTACATATCAGAGGCAATACGCGTGTTCTCACCTGCACATCTCCTCCGCCATCCCTTCTCTCTCTCTCCGTCTCTTCTCTCTCTCTCTCTCACACGCACACACACACACACTCTCTCTCACACACACACTCTCTCTTTCTCTCTCGCTCACTCCCATCTGCAGCTGGTGTTTGCGTCCATTGTGCGCCAAGACATTTCGTTCTTTGACAAAACGCGGACGGGCGAACTGACGAACAGACTCGCGTCCGACACCGCCGTCATCCAAAACGGTCCGCTGGCGTGATCTTGTGCTGGTGTGATCTTGTGCTGGCGTGATCTTGTGCTGGCGTGATCTTGTGGTGTTTTGTGCTGGTGGCCACTTTGGCGTTGCGCTTGTGGCTTGTTTGTTGGTGTTGGAATTCAACCCTCAACAACACTCACGCTCGCACACACACGCGCTCATGACACGCAATGCCATCCCTGCGCAACTCACGCAACCCCCCTTGCCACCAACCACGTGCACGTGTGCAGCCTGCACGGTGAACATCAGCATGCTGCTGCGGTATATTGTGCAGATTGTGGGCAGCCTCGCCCTCATGTTTGCGCTCTCCTGGAAACTGACACTCGTCCTCCTCTCCGTCGTCCCGCCAGTCGCCATCGGCGCAGTCTGGTCAGTTGTTTGCGGATGTATGTGGGTGATGTGTGTGTGTGTCTGTGTGTGTGTGTGTTTGTGTGTGTGTGTGTGTGTCTGTGTACGCGCCTCTCTTCCTCTCTGTCTTTGTCTCTCCCTGGCCCTTTGTCGCTTTCATTCAAACGCGTGTGTTCACTCCATGGACTGCGTCTTGGTGCGTGCACAGGTACGGGTCCAAGGTGAAGAAACTCCGCAAGACATTTCAGGACGAGCTTGCAAAAGCGTCAGGTACTGGTGTTCATGTGCTCTCGCTCAGTTTGCATTGCTGATCACATCATCGAGTGTGAACCAGAGACAATTTAAGCGCACCTTTGTCCTGCAATCACTCACAGCCACTCCTACACACACACACACACACTCTTCTACACACACACACACACACACACACACACACACACACACACGCACGCATCTCCATCACCGGTGCATGTTGGCAGCGTGTGCGGAGGAGACGATTTCGTCGATGCGAACGGTGCGCTCGTTCTCCAACGAAAACCGGAGCAGCAGCGAGTACAGCGGCAGCATCAACACCAGCTATGGCGTACGTCATGCACACGCGCGCAAGCATTGCTGTTGGTGGTGCGATGGGTGGTGCTGCTGTTGTGTCGGTCTGTGTTGTGTCTCTACATTTGATAATCACGCTCTCAATCATCCACACACATGCACACGCACATAATGGCGCGTGCAGATTGGCAAGAAGCTTGCGCTGGTGCAGGGCGGATTTGCGGGCATCACGGGGGCGTTTGCACAGCTCGCCATCCTGCTGGTGCTGTGGTACGGCGGCACGCTTGGTACGATCACGCATGCACACATGCTTTCGTTTGGCTCGCTTGCTTGATTGGCGTGTTTGGTTTGCGAATGCTGCCTGTGACATTGTGCAGCAATTGTCACGCATCAACATACCGTGTTTGACCGGCCTTGATCGGGCTCAGCCCTGTGATCATATGCAGAGATTCGCATGCACACACGCGCACGTGCGTTCACACATGCTCACAACCACAAACCTACGCACTCGCATACACACTCACACGCAACTTACATGCGCACATTCACGCAACTTACATGCGCACATTCACACTCGCACACATGGACTTGCGTGCAGTGTATCATGACCACATCACGACCGGTGTGCTCTCGGGGTTTCTCCTGTACACGCTGCAGGTTGCGATGGCCTTTGCGTTCCTGTCCTCGCTTTACGGAGACTTTATGCAGGTGTGTGCGTGCTTGTATGTATGAGGGGCGGGGCGGGTGTGCTGGTGCGGGTGTGTTTCAATGGGTGTGTGTTTCAGTGTGTGTGTGTGTGTGTGTGTGTGTGTGTGTGTGTGTGTGTGTGTGTGTGTGTGTGTGTGTGTGTGTGTGTGTGTGTGTGTGTGTGTGCGTGCGTGCGTATTGCTGTGTCATGCATGTCCCTCTGCCCTCGACCACAACTGCCATTTCCCATGCACACGTCGCACGTTGCAACACACACATACACTCAAACAAACACACACACACACACATCCACACATCCACGCCTATCGCACACAGGCGTTGGGTGCGAGTGTGCGCATCTTTGAGCTGATGGACCGCCAGCCCTCCATTGGCATTACCGGCGGTGACGCTCCGGCCCATTTTGATCCCGAAATTGAATTGCGCGGCGTGAACTTCCGCTATCCTTCCCGCCCAGACACACTCGTCCTCGATGACGTGCGTGTTCTTTGCGTGCGTGCGTGTGTCTGTGTGTCTGCTCCTTGTGTCTGTGTGTCTGTGTTCGCGTGCGTGTCTGCTCCTTGTGTCTGTGTGTCTGTGTTCGCGTGCGTGTCTGCTCTTTGTGTCTGTGCGTGTGTGTTCGCGTGCGTGTCTGCTCTTTGTGTCTGTGTGTCTGTGTGTACTGCCTCTGCATCTTCACGTTGTCCTGCGTCAACCCAGCGTGTCGTACCTCACAAGCCCCTGCCCTCATCGCACCAGGCATCCCTGCGCGTGCCCACGGGATCCGTCGTTGCCCTCGTCGGACCAAGCGGTGGCGGTGCGTATGTCTGTCGGCGTCTGTGTGTGTTTGGGTGCGTTGACGCATGTTTCCGTGTGTGTTCGTTGCTGTCCCCCACCCCCTTATACCACCGTCATCTCTCAACACACACACACCCGCGGCGCTGGCGCTGGCGCTGTCATCGTCTCCATGCTGTGTGTGTGTGTGTGTGTGTGTGTGTGTGTGTGTGTGTGTGTGTGTGAACCGTTCTGGGATATCCAAACGCATGGCCAGCGCCTCGACGCACTGAAGCGATGCCCCGTGATGAGTTTGAAGCCGTGCGGTGCCTTCTCTTACGAGAGGTGTTCGCCTCTAGGCTACCTAGATGCGTATTAAACAGACGTTCCGTTCCTACTGCTGTGTGTGTGTGTGTGTGTGTGTGTGTGTGTGTGTGTGTGTGTGTGTGTGCGTGTGTGCATGTGTGTGTGTGTGCACCTTTGACTGTGCAGGCAAGTCGACCATCGTGTCGCTTCTGGAGCGATTTTACGATCCCGAAGACGGACAGATTCTGGTGTGTGGCGAACGTTTGTATCATTGCGCACCCAACTGTACATACGCATGACACACACACATACACACACACGCGCGACACACACACACGCACACACACACACACACACACACACACACACACACACACACACACACACACACGTACTTGGTGCTTCCTGACCGCTGCTGCGTGTGAATGAATGCAACCTCCTGTCTTCTTCGTTGTCCATTTTGCTTCGCGTGTGCATCATCAGGTTGGTGGAAAGGACATTCGGAGTGTGGATCCGGCGTGGCTGCACCGGCACGTGGCGCTGGTGGGACAGGAGCCAGTCTTGTTTGCAATGTCCATCAAGGACAACATCAAATATGGCAACGTATGCGGCGGCAGCGGTCCTGTTTCTTGTTTTCGACTGTGTTCTCGTGTCTGTGTGCCTGGGCATTCTGGGTTTTGGTGCTTGATTCTCGGCGTCTTTGCTGTTTGTGTGTCTGCTTTGGTTTGAATTGGATGTTTTTGATGGGGATTTATTTTTGATGCCTTGCTGCTTTGTTGCTGTGGTACGGTGCCCGTGCTGCATTCCACAACTGGTGTTGATGACGTGTTGTGTGCACTCGTGTGTGGTTTTGCGTTCAGGCGACGGCGACTGACGAAGAAGTGATCGAAGCGGCAAAGCAGGTGCATGCGTGCGCACATTCGCCGCCACGTGTTTGCCTGCGACACACCTGTGACCGCCTCCCATCACAGCCATGATTCTGACTGCCCTGATGAATACTTGCACACAACACAAACAAGCGCACAAGCACACATGCACACATGCACACGCACACAATCATACACACACACACCTGTTGCATCTACACATGTGACGCGTGCCGCCTCATGCTGTGTGGGCTGCTTCTCTCTGCTCTTTCCTTGTTCGCAGGCCAATGCACATACGTTCATCTCCGGCTTTGATGAGCAATACGACACCAAAGTCGGAGAACGTGGCGTGCGCCTCTCGGGAGGACAAAAGCAGGTGCGTTTATGTGTGTATGTGTATGTGTATGTGTATGTGCATGTGTGTGTGTATGTGTATGTGTATGTATGTATTGTGTGTGTGTTCGCATCTACGTGGTGGTGGGATTGCAGCTCGGTGCGTTGTGCCTTGACCTCACGCAACACGTTGTGTGAACCTGCTGCTACACCGAAATCAGCGCATTGCGATTGCGCGTGCGCTGCTGATGAACCCGCAAGTTCTTCTCCTTGACGAAGCAACATCTGCCCTTGATGCTGAAAGCGAGCACCTCGTTCAGGTGACAACCCTCTGTGTGTGTGTGTGTGGGTGCGTGTGCGTGTGTGTGCGTGTGTGTGCGTGTACGTGTGCTTTTGTTTGGTGAAAATCATGAAGGTTTCCACACCCCCATCGTTGCACCTTCTCGTCCCCCCCCCCTCATCTTGTACTGGCTCACCTCGTGTTCACATGTGTGTTCTCGCACTTCTGCCCCCCCCCCCCGTTTCCTTCGGCGAATGCAACAGGAGGCCATTGATCGCGCGATGGTTGGCCGCACGGTGCTGGTCATTGCGCATCGCCTGTCCACCGTCCGCGATGCCGACCAAGTCCTCGTCATTGAGAAGGTACGCATCAGCAGATCCAACCGTGATTTGGTTTTGTCTTGGGATGTTGGCTTGCCTCGCCGTGCCAACGAAAGCATGAAGCACTCACTTGTGTACGCGTTTTGTGTGTGTGTGTGTGTGTGTGTGTGTATTTGCGCAGGGCCGCATTGCGGAACGGGGAACGCACGATGAGCTCATCGCTCTTGACGGCATCTACCGCAAGCTTGTTGAACGACAACTCAATGTAGGGAAGTGTGTGTGCGTATGTGTTTTTGAGTGAGATGATTCAACAGACGAACAGTACATGCTGGAACCATTGGCTTCGCAAACACACACACACATACACACACACACACACGCACACGTGTGAGCTCACGTTGCTGCACTGTGCATGGATAGGTTGCTGGCGATGCTCCTGCCAACACGACGGAGGCATCAAGGGAAGAAGAAAGCGCAGAAGGAGAAGGAGAAGGAGAACCGTCAGCATCCCCTCCTAACGCTGTTGTGGAAGAAGAAGATCAAACGACACAGAGCAGCGACGCTTAAGCTTCCCATTCACCATCACCTCATGCTTCCTTCCTCAGCAAGAGTACCGTCAAAGATGCAAGACGCAAGCTCATGTGACAGCTCATATCGCGCCCTCGCTTTCATCAACCAACCACACTCACTCACACACTCACACACACACACACACACCGCGCGCCGATCGTTCGTCAACCTTTCCTGTTACATTGCACCATGACGCGTGCTCATGTCAGTAAACACACAAGCCCCCAACACAACAAGCCACATAAATAGGACAGAGTGCTTTTCTTAGCACAGAGCGTGATGGTGTGCGTTCCTCGCTGCACAACCGCCACGACAAGATGGTGCAGTGCTGGGAGGCGATGGTCCGTGAGACGAGCGACGGTTGTCGCTGCGCTGGTGCTGGTTGTGGTGGGACTGTGCGTGGGAGGGTTCCTGGCATACATCCGGCACGGTACGTCAGCGGACACAAAGGTCCAACTCTTGACAGAGACGGCACTATCATTCATGGGCGCTGGAAACAACGACGGCAATGATCGCCTACATCAGCGATCAAACCACCAGCAGCAGATGGCTGTGGTGTACATATGCCTGTGGCACTGTGACACGAGCTTGCTGGCGTTGTCCATCAAGACGCTGCGTGCGCGCGGGGGATGGTGTGGTGACGTGTATGTGGCGGTGGGTAACTCAGAACGCCGAGCGCTCGCCATGCATGGGCACTTGCCACCGCGCACGCACTTTGCCCTCATCAACAACCCGCGCCGCTTGTGCACATCGCACCGCATGCAGACGTCCATGTGCGCCAAGAGGCTCAAGCCGCAGCTGTTTTCTCTCGTCCCGGCAACCGTACACACGCTGCTGTACATTGACGCGGACGTGCTGGTATCTCGGCCTTTGCACAGCTTGTGGGATTTGCCCCGTGCAGCAAGAGGCGCTGAGACTTGGCACGTGTTTCCGGACATGCTCTGCTCGGACTGCACCCACTTCAACACTGGAATCATGCTGCTGCACAGGCGGCAAACCCTTCCTGCCGCGGTTCCAGGCCCACGACCGGCACACCGCGGGCCGACTGCTTCCACGCACGAATGCAACCAGGCGACGTGCATGCGGCATGAGCAAGTGGTGGCAGTGCCAGGAGCGTCACCCAGCACGTCCCCTAGCCTACACACTTGCCTGGCGCTGTGGCTGATAGCCATGGACAGTGGGCTGTTCTCGCGTGACCAAGAGGCCTTGGATGCAGCGCTGGGCCTCCCGCTGCCCATGCTGCCTGACAGCGTCGCCGAGGAGGCACAAGCCGTCCTACTGCAGCGATTCGCACAGAGCGCACCCATCCCCTGCCGCTCGCATCCAGCGACGGGCGGCGATAGTGGTGGTGGGCTCAAGTGTCTCCAGTCAGTGCAGGCAGGGTGCCGGCGTTTGCTGCACATGCTGCCGCGCCGTCGCCAGCGCTACCTGGATAGCGGGATGTGGCAGCCGCTGCTTGCGTATCACGAGTGGTTTGTGCACCTCCTTGGCATCAAGCGAGACCGCAAGCTGTGGCCTCGCGTGAGGCGGTTCTACCTTGACAGTGAGCAGCGTCTCCTTCAGTCGCCCCGCTGTCCCATCACCGACTACAGTGGTGACGCTGCTGCACACCAACACGGCCGCACAATCCATTGCTCCGTGTCACCCTGCGGCTGCGTTCAAGCACCATGAGGTGCGTGTGTGTGTGTGTGTGTATGCGTGCGTGTGTCTGTGTCTGTGTCTGTGTGTTTGTGTGTGTGTGTGTGTGTGTCTGTGTCTGTGTCTGTGTCTGTCTGTGTCTGTCTGTCTGTCTGCCTGCCTGCCTGTCTGTATCTGTGTTTGTGTGCGCGTCTGTGTATCCGTGATTGTACATGTACCTGTATTCATGGTTGCTTGGATGTCTATGGTGTTTAGTGCATAGCCCTCACGTTACCAACCCTTCCGCTCGTGCCTCCTTCCGCCCAAGGGCCCCCCTTCTCTCCCCCAACCGAGACTCACTTGGCTCCTTGCTTGGCCCCTTGCTCCTCCCGTTGCTGTTGCTGCTGCTCCTCCCGTTGCTGCTGCTGCTGCTGCTGCTGCTGTGCCAAAAGTGTCTGCATAGCCTGTGCGTTCTTCTGTGCGGTCGTGTGTGCAGGGTCGAACGTCTGTGCCCGCTGGAACAGCGCCAGCGCTTGCTCCGCCTCGCCCTCTTGGAACGACATCACCCCGAGATTCACCAGCGCCTTGGCTTTGAAGCGGCGTGCGTCTTCGTCCATGTTGCTGCATTCCACCGCGGTCAGGTACGCCTGTGCGCACGGGCATGGACGAGGTGTTGTGCCGCATGTTGTGTGAGGATACGTTGCTGCGTGTGGCATGCATAAGTCTTACCACACATGGATGTTCAAAAATGCCACACACACACACACACACACACACACACACACACACACACACACACACACACACACACACCTGCTTGGCTTCGTTGGGGCGCGCTGCTTGGAACAGAATTGTCCCCCGCTCGTACGGAAACTTTGGATTTGAGGCATCGCTTGCCTCAAGACTCGACAACCCTGAAGAGAAAACGGCCGATGGTCGTGGTGAGGACGGGCAGGATGAGAGCGGCAGCGCGAGGGGCAGCAGCAACAACAACAACAACAACAACAACAACAACAACAACAACAACAACAACAACAACAACAACAACAACAACAACAGCAGCAGCAGCAGCAGCAGCAGCAGCAACAGCAACACCAAGCAGCAGCAGCATTGTTGAGCACCTTCGACTGCTGCGTCGATGTTGCAAGTCTGTGCGTGCGTGATGGCGAGGTCAAAGGCAATGTCCGGTCGGGCGGGTGCAGCCGCAACCGCAGCCTGTCATAATCACACATATCCAAGGGTGGTGCGCATCGACGGGTCGCACGGAGTTAATGGGGTGATGATCCCGTAGCAACAACAATGTGCATGTTGGTGTGCACGTAAGCGGGCAACTGTTGACTGTTGCGCTGTTCGTGATGTATTCTTAGCGTGCACGCACCTGGAGGAGCTGTACTGCCTCCTGGGGACGCTGTAGTTGCAGTTGGATCACGCCCCGCTTGTGCAGCGTGTCGGCCAGCTGTTGCAGACACAAGCGAAGACGCAGGCGAAGATGCACAGCATTGTGAAGAGACGGTGGTGACAACAACAACAACAACTTGACAACAACTTGACAACAACTTGACAACAACAACAACAACAACAACAACTTGACAACAACAACAACAACAACAACAACAACAACAACAACAACAACAACAACAACAACAACAACAACAACTTGACAACAACAACAACAACCACAACAACAGTGGCTACGACGACGACGCTCCACACCATCGTGTGCTCGATACTCACCAGTGTCGGTGATTTTTCCCCAGCGAGCTTGAAGTACGTGAGCGCTTCCTCAAACTTGGACTTGTGCGCGTGGGAAACACCCAAATTGAACAGCGCAACAGGATCCTGTGATTGTCACCATGTCACACGACACACGCGTCAGGACGTTTGCATATAAGTTCCACGTATCCGTGCGTGTGTTGGATTTGCCATCGCCTCTGCTCTCCCTCTATCCCCCCCCCCACACACACACACACACACACAAGTTTCTTGTGGATGCTTGCACGCACCGCTGTGTCCGTGCCCACAACAGACGAATCGAATTGTTCCTCCTGTGTTGGCCTCTCCTGCTGCACTTTTGCGCCTCCCCGCCCTTGTTGTTTCTCCTTGGCCGCTTTCACTTCCGCATCATCGTGCTGCTGCTGCTGCTGCTGACGATGATGATGATGATAATGATGATCTTTTTGTTGGGGTCGCGGTGGCGTTTGCCCCTCCTCCGCCATTGGTTGTTCCTCGTGGTGAGCGGGCACATCGCTCATGGCATTGCCATCCTGACCATCATGGTCACTGCCGGTCACTTGCTGCTCGTGCGCCTGTCCGTCGCTGTTATTGCTGCTGCTGGCATTGTTGCCGCCTGCATTGCTGGCGCTGGTTGCGTGTTCTCCATTGGCGACACGAGCGTCTGGGTCACTTTCACCGGTGTTGGTTTGCCGCTGTCGTCTCCTCCTCCTCCTCGTCCTCCTCGTCCTCCGCTGCTGCTGCTGCGTTGCTTGGTCTGCTGTGCTCTCCCGCGTCTCCACTGTTTCTGCGCTCGTGCGTGTGCGTGGCATTTGCTTTGCCAGCTGCTGCGCCTGCTGTAAATAGTGCGCATATGTCGGATTGCCGGGAACCGCCTGCGCAACACAGCACAACACAGCACAACACAACACAACACAATAAAGAAGCAGCTGTGAGATCACTCATGCATCCCAAAAGCTAACACGCGCACACAAGCATGCACTCACGAGCACAACAATACAAACGCACAAACACACCTGCGTTGCTGCGTGGAAGTATTTGATTGCATCATCGTAGCGTTGGAGGTCAAGGCTGCACAGCCCAAGCGCATACAGCACGTGCCCTTGCATTGCGGGCTCATCTGCCATCCAAAATACACGCGTCACAAAGAGAATCGAACCATGAGCACTGCTGAACGCACACGCACACACACACACACAAAACACAACACATGGTATGTACACATGTGGCGACTAACCAAAGCGCTCACTCTACTCGCTTCATGCATGCACACTTGCTGGCCGAGTGGCCTCTTTGTCATTCCGTGCTCATGGCACCCCATGCAACACCACACCTGCTGACATGAAGGCCTTCTCCAGATATGACAGCGCCGTGAGGGAATCGCCTTTCTTCTCCCGATACATGCGGCCCAGATTCATGTTTGCGTGCATATAGTACTCGTGGTGCTTCAGCGCCTCCTTGAATGCTGATTTAGGCAAAGGGTGACAGACAGAGCGAGTGAGAGTGAGAGACAGAGAACAGAGAGAGGTTGTGCGTGTGTACGTGTGTGTGTGTGCGTGTGCGTGTGTGTGTGTGAGTGTGTGTGTGCATGAGCGTTGTTTTGTTGCGCACGTGAGTGTCACAATCGGACTGGGGCTGGTGATGTCAACGACTTGTCACAAGCATCACCCGCACGCAAGCGCACGTACACTCAAACACAAACAAGCGCACACACCAACAAGCCAACAAGCACATATGCACTATATGCATGCGCACCTGCGATTGCGTCGTCGACGCGCTCTTGGCGGTCGTAGACATTGCCGAGCAAGACGTGTGAGACGTAGTTGTGCGGGCATGAGAGGGTTGCAGCCTTCCATAGAAGCTCCTCGTTGCCCCACTCGGCATCGCGTTGCATCAGAACGTGCGAGTATGCAGCGAGCACCGCTGCCAGCACTCCCCAGCACAAAAAGGCCCTTGAGACACTCCCGTCTTCACGTGGCTGTGGTTCTGCGCGCTTGGCCTTGCTTTGAGCTGGCTTGATGCTCGCCTGTTGCTGCTGCGGTCGCTGCTGCTGCTGTTGCTGGTGTTGTTGTTTCGCGCTCTTTTTGCCTGCACCACCACCACCACCACTGGTTTGTGGCAGGTCGGCGGCAGTGCCGCCAAAGGGGTTGTACGCGTGTGCACACGCCGTGAAGAGCAGTGCTGCCAGGAAGCAGAAGCCGACGGACGGGGAGTACACGACGCGCTCCGCAACAACGAATCCCACAGGGAAGAGCACATTCGACGCAGGTATAAACGGCAGCATAAGCCACGCCAGCGACATGGTCAGCACCTTACCAGCGCGCTCTCGATGCGTTGCCTGCAGGCAACAACATGACAAAGTGGACAAACTGAGGGAATGCGAACAAACACACTCACAAGCACACAGACACACACACATTTGCAACACACACAGCGCACACACTCGTACACTCACAAACACGCATGCCTGCACACGCATGCTTACCAGGAAACGAATGCCGACAGCGATCGTGGCCAGGAGAGCAGCGTAAAACGCAAGGGCGTACGCTGCGCGAACGTCCGCAAAGGAGGACACGACCGGAATTTCGTTCCGCCAATCCGGGCAGAAGCGGTTTGGAATCAACAACAGCGCAAAGTGGAACCAGTGCAGGTACGCGTACGTCGTGGCCCGAACAAAAAACGACTCTGTGCGTGCGCGCGTGCGTGTGTGTGTGTGCATATGTGTGTGCATGTGTGCGTGTGCATGTGTGTGTGTTCGAGGTGAGGTGAATAAGTTAGCTGTTAGGAGTTAGTGTTGAGGATGTGAGTGTCAAAAACACGCACGCACGCACACGCACAGCCACAAATATGCCGTGTACACGCCCACTCACTCTCGTTGGCGGCTGGATTCGTAGACTCGTACCATTCAGGAATCTCGCCTTGCAACTGGATGGAAACATGCAAGTACAAAACTCATTGTGGGCGATTATCGGAAATTGCAATGCCATCATCACAACATTCAAACGCTCGTGTTCGCGCAGAGCAAGCAGTCACACACACACACACACACACACACACATTCACACACATTCACACATACATAATCGCACACATTCACACACACACGCTCTCTCTCTCTCTCTCCCTGTTTGCTGTGCCTCTTACCTGAAGACGGTACGCGAGAAAGGACACCGTTGCCGCAAGTACAATCAAGCACCGTACAACAGCGAGGCTTGGCAACGAGACATGTATCTGCAAAGAAAGAAAGAAGAAATGAACACGTGAACAGAGTGTTCAAACAAAACACCATACAGAATATACAGGGTCAGCTGCTCATGTGACCGAGCACAAGAAGACACGCAGAAAGCGAAGCACCAACCCACCCACAGTCCCGTGCACACCACCCAAAACATTGTTCTCATGGCGGGTGTGTTTGGCTTACGCTGGATGCCTTTGGCTTCTGCTTCTTTGTGGACTTTGATGCCGAGCGGCGCCGTTCCCGTGAACAGCACCACTGATACAGAACGCCAGCAACTTGCGTCACCACGCCGACAGCAACAAGTTCGTGGGCAACACACAACGCCGTCACCATGACGCCCGTTTCCTTGCACATGGCAGCGCAGATGATGAGCGGGACTGCTGCGATGGACGTGAACAGGCCGCGACACCACGCCGTATTGCTGCTGCCCGCCGCAAACACCAGAAACCCGACGAGCTGCAAGAACAGCGACATCAGCTCCGACCTGAAGCAATACCAACAGTTGTAACGACCACACGTCATGGATGATGGTTAGCACGTGATACTTGACAGATTGATCACAGGGCGCGAGAACAGGTATGGTGGATATAACGAAGGCAGCGAATGCGTCAGGGACAGCACGCGCCAGTCTTCCCAAGGAGGCACTCTGCGGCTGTTGCACCGTTGTATCTGTATGTATCGCGCTGCTTGCAGGCACTGACCTGTTGGTAATGTTGGATACGCTCTCGGAGTGCATGGGATGCACTGCAAAGAGGGCGCCGGACACGATGGCAAATGTCCATCGCTAATCAGCAGAACGGAGACCATGCGTGATGAGAGACGTGATGAGGCAGCCTGTTGCTGCTATGGTTCGCCATTCGCAGAAATGCACGCGCTGGTGTTCACTCTTCTTCACTCATATCCTGTACACACACACACACCTACACACACACACACACACAAACACACACACAAACACACGCCTATATGCCTACACACAATTCTCGCACTCTCGCTGAACTGAACTCTCACCATGGAGCTGGCGACGGATTGTGGCATGGTTCGGCCAGCAACGAGCATGACGAGTAAGGTGTTGAGTGCATGCAGGCACAAGTTTACGACGTGGAACCAGTGTGGGTCCAATCCAGCCCAGTGGTAGTTGTACATGAAGGACAAGGTTGTCAAGGGCCGCCAGGACTTGTGCGATAGCGGATCTGCTACGGGCCTTCCCCAATAGTCGGCGTGCCACCATCGCGCAAGCACCTCCGGGGTCAGCACCCCTTCAAACTCCGTCACCACGGGGTTCTCCGACACGCACTTCACTGCACGACACGACAGAAGAGGGAGAGTGAGCGTGTAAGAAAGCGCGTGCGAGAGAGAGTGTGTGTGTATGTGTGTGTGTGTGAGAGAGAGTGAGTGAGGAGAGAGTGAGGAGAGAGTGAGTGAGACAGTCAGACGGTGAGACGGCCAGACAATGAGACAGTGAGATGGGCGAGGGGAGTGCACAAGTGCACCGTGGCTATAGCTCGCCGCGCTGCGCTGCAGACACGGGGAGAATTGGGATGCAACCGTGCCTGCATGCCTGCATGCAACGGAAAAACAGCTCACTGAAGCAGGAAGTGCCACTCACACTCCCTCCCTCCAACTTTCCACACACCCTTCCTTCATCTTTCCTTTGCACTGCACTTACAGTCATCGTAGACGAAGGACCCATGAAGCGACCGCGAGTACACCAGCGCCGACGCAGCCGTGATGCCCACTGCCAGCACAGCCCACAACACACAGGACAGCGCAGACATCTTCTCGCTTCTTGCGCACACTCCCCTCACTCGCTTGTTGTGCCCTTGGCAGCCGAAATTTGTCTTAAAACTTCCACCATTTGTCCCAACTCGAGCCGAGAGCAGAGGCAAAAAGGAGAAGCGTGATTGTTGGCGAGGAGAGACGCGCACACATCGTTGCTGGAGCTGGAGGAGAGGAGCAGGGCACCTGCAACGCGCAGCAGTCGCAGGAAACAGTAGCAGTGTCACGGCAGGAGGAGTAGCAGTGATGGAGGGAGGCGTTGGGACGCGGCGCCGGGCGACTGGTTTCCGCTCGCGCAGCGTGGATCCAGAGGTGGACGGCTCCGGCGTGTTTGGGGCGTCGGAAACATCCCCGTTGTTGATGCGCGACAGGGCGCCGTCCATGTGGGGCCGCCTGCGCAACCGGTTCAGGTCAATCACAGCTGCCGAGCAGCAACACCCAGCAGAGTATGTGGCCCCTCACAGGCGGCACTTTGCCCGACAAATGGTGTACGAGTCACTGGACTATGAGATTACAGAGAGCCGCGTCGAGATGAAGGAGCGTAGAAAGCTCACGCTCAAGGACCACTTTAGAGACGTCATCCTTCGCTGGGTGATCCTCTTCTTCATCGGTGCGTGGTTGCGCGTGCGTCTGTATGCTTGGTTGTGTGTGTGTGTGTGTGTGTGTGTGTGTGTGTGTCTTTGTGTGTATTTTATTGTGTGTGTGTGTGTGTCCGTATCCGTGTCTACATTTATGTCCGTGTCTGTAATTGCGTCTGTACTTGTGCGCGTTCACACTCTTGCATGTTCGTACACCCTTCCATGTGCAAGTGTGGTTATGAAAACACACATATCCTCGTGCTCATTGGACCAGTCTTTCTTACACTGTGTTGTGTCGTTCGTTGTACTCGCATCTCGTGCCATATCTACAGGTATCTTCACTGCGTTTGCTGCGTTTGCCATCGACGTGGGCATCAAAATCATCTCCAAATACAAGTTTGGCTTCATTCGCGACTCCATATCGAGGTAGGCACGTGAAGTGAACATGTGACGTGTGTGACGCGAATGCACATGTGAAGTCAACACGCACGTGACTGCGGCGTGGTGCCATGGCCCTTGCTTCGAGCAGCGAAGCTGTGCTTGCTTGCGTGACTCATGTAGGAACGTGTTGCATCCTTGTTCACAGGTGCACCAAGCATGACTGTCTGTCGCAGTCGTTTGGCATCTGGGTTGGCCTTGACATCTTGCTCGTTGGCCTTGCAGGCGTCATGGTCTGCTTCATCGCCCCAATTGCCGCAGGCTCCGGCATTCCAGAGGTGCGCTCACGCGTGTTTGTGTGCGTATGTGTTTGTGTGCGTGTGTGTGCGTGTGCGTATGTGTGCGTGTGCGTATGTGTGCGCTCGTGTGTGTGTGTGTCTGTCTGTCTGTCTGTGTGTCTGTCTGTCTGCCTGTCCGTCTGTCTGTCTGTCTGTCTGTGTCTGTGTGTCCGTGTTAATACACGTGTTGTTTGTGTACATCTGTTTACATGCTCTATGTACACACAAGCGCCTGTGCGGCCCTGCAGCATTGCTGTGTGTCTCTGACTGCCCCCTCCCTCTGGCTCGTGCTGGTGCTGCTGCGCAGGTCAAGTGTTACCTCAACGGCATCAAGATGCCTGAAGTCGTTCGCCTCAAAACCCTCGTCACCAAGGCAATAGGTACAGTTGGTGCATCCTTTTGCACAAACGTGTCAGCATGTTCGCCTGTAAGCAGGCAAACGCACACAAACGATGAAAGGAGTACTCCAACAACCTGTTTGCCTCCTTTCTCAACTCACCCACACCTTACGTATGCTTTTTGGGTGCATGCAGGTGTAATGTTTGCTGTATCTGGTGGCATGACCATCGGCAAGGAAGGGCCCATGATCCACTCAGGTCTGCTATCGCCATGGGTGTGCGTGTGCGCGTGCGTGCGTGCGTGTGTCTCTGTCTGTCTGTCTGTCTGTCTGTCTGTCTGTCTGTCTGTCTGTGTGTGTGAGTGTGCGTGTGCGTGTGCGTGTGTGCGTGTGCGTGTGTATCTGTGTGAGTGTGCGTGTGTGTTTGTGTCAAGCTCGTTATTGTTTTGGTGTGGTTCCTGTCGTTGCTTCGTTCAACTCACCCCACCTCCCTCTCCTCCTTTCTTCCAACCTCCCCCCTGTCTCTCTGCACAACCGCTACGACCAGGTGCGGTTGTTGCTGCCGGTCTCTCCCAGGGCAAATCCACGTCCATTCGTTGGCTCGACACGCGCTTCCTGAAGCAGTTTCGCAACGACGTCGAGAAGAGAGTGAGCCCGCCTCAAATGTCATGCATGTGGCGTATGTATGTGTGTGTCTGTGTCTGTGCGTGTGTGTGCGTGCGTGTGTGTGTGTGTGTGTGTGCGTGTCTGTCTGTCTGTGTGTCTGCGTGTGTGTTTGTCTGTGTGTCTGTGCGTTTTCTTTGGGCAATAGTGTGACGCTGCTTGCCATGTCTTACAGCCGTATTACCCTCGCCTTCACCTCACCCTCCTCCTCCGCCTCCTGCTCCTTGTGCATGATGCACTGCCGCCACTGCTAGGACTTTGTGTCCGGCGGTGCTGCTGCGGGTGTCAGTGCTGCGTTCGGCGCCCCAATTGGCGGTGTCCTCTTCTCCCTCGAGGAGGTGATTGTTTCCACCTACCTGTTGCCGCTGCAACAACAACACGTCTCGTGCACTGCATTTGCTCTATTCTGTTGCTGCTTGCGCGCCGTGCCCACAGACGCGTCTGTGAACCGCAACTACCTCCCTCGTTGCCTGACTATCACCGCCACCACCACCACCGGTGCCCTTGCTATTACTCCTGTCAGGGTGCGTCGTTCTGGAATCAGTTTCTGACGTGGCGCATCTTCTTCTGCTCCATGACGGCCACATTCGTCCTCAACATCCTCCTCTCAACCTTCGAAAACGGCAACCCAGGTCCGAGGTCATGTGCTCACCCTCGTGTGGCGTCGTTTGCACTGTCGTTCTCTGCTGTGACGTTGTCTGAGCGGTGGTAATACTCGCCTTGGAGCTTGTGCTCCTTGTTGCTCGTGGTGGTTGCGTTGCTGGTTGTGGTTGCACTCTTTGCTGTTGGCTCTGCTGTTACACATCATACCATCGCCAGCGCATGCAGCCGGTCATCCCCACCACCATCACCACCACGAATGCCGGTGCCTCAGGCGCGCTGTCCAACCCTGGTTTGATCAACTTTGGCAAGTTCGAGGACATGCCATACAACCTCTCCGAGCTGCCGCTCTTCATCATCATGGGTGTGTGACATGTTTTGGGCGGGTTCGGTGGTGATGGAGGGGGGAGAGGAGCTGTTGAATGACCTGTTTCGGCTTGCACACGCACGCGCACGCATGTGCCCGCATGCACATGCGGTTGCACTCACTCACTCACTCACTCACTCACTCACTCACTCACTCACTCACTCACTCACTCACTCACTCACTCACTCACTCACTCACTCACTCACTCACTCACTCACTCACTCACACGCGCGTCCGTGCAGGGGTGATTGGCGGGTTACTTGGCGCGGCGTTCAACTCCATCAACGAGAAGCTCACGCATTTCCGCATGCACCACGTGTTCACGCCCCACGCAAAGTCAGTCGTGACTGCCTGTTCCATACACTACAGGACTCGCAGGGCATAAGTGTTCAGCAAGGCACATTCCCTCCATTCCACGCCACATACTCATCATGCATGCACATATACACGCACGCACGCACGCACGCACGCACGCACGCACGCACGCACGCACGCACCAATCGACACCATGTCTGTGTCATGTGGTTCCTGCCAGGCTGCTGGAGGTGCTGGCTGTCACCGTCCTCACGACCGTCATATTCTTCACCCTCATCTTCTTCAGCGATGTACGCTCGCAGTGCACTCGCAGTTACCACTGCTGAGAGCGTGTATGTGTGTGTTTGTATGTGAGTGAGTGAGTGCGTGTGTGTGCGAGTGAGTGAGTTAGTGTGTGTGTGTGTGTGTGTGTGTGTGTGTGGGTGTGGGTATGCTGGCTAACATTTTGATTCAGCACCATCCATCTCTTGTTGTTCTGATGACACGTACCACGTGCTTCCTTGGTTGTGAACGTTCAGGACTGTCTTCCGCTCGGGCAATCACCAGAGAGCAGCAGCCCCTTGCAGTTCTTCTGCGAAGAGCACCAATACAGTACGATACATGCAGTGTCATGCCTGTCTTTGACTGCTGGCGTTATGACTGCTGCCCGCCACTGGGATGTCGACGTGTGTACCGCCACGCCCTTGCTCCCTTTAACGCCACCAAACACACACACACACACACACACACACTCTCTCTCTCTCTCTCTCTCTCTCTCTCTCTCTGTCATTTACACACACGTGTGTTTGCAGGCGCGATGGGAGCGCTGCTGTTCAACACGCCGGAAGACAGCATCAAGAACCTGTTTCACGGCCCCAAGGACGCATACACGTCGTCCACGCTGGCGTTCTTTGCCATTGCATACTGGGCGCTTGCGTGCATCACGTATGGCCTGTCCATTCCCAGCGGTCTGTTCGTGCCGTGTCTGCTGACGGGAGCGTCGTGGGGCCGGCTGGTGGGCAACATCATGGCATCCATCTTCCCTGGCGCGACGTGGGTCATCCCTGGGAAGTACGCCCTCATCGGAGCAGCTGCCATGCTCGCTGGCGTGGTACGTATGCACTGCGAGATGCATGAGGGGGAGGGGGGTGAGGGGGCAGAGCTGGTGCTCATCATATTGGTCACCACTGCTTCTGGTGGTGATGGTGGCGAGGCAGGATTGGGCCGTGTTGTCATCGATGGCATGTCATTCCCATGTCAGTCTCAATTTGACGATGCTGCCTTACTCGAATGATATGTGCGTGTGTGCGCGCGCGTGCGTGCGTTTGCAGGTTCGCATGACGATTTCGCTGACTGTCATCATCATTGAGGCGACGGGAAACGTGACGTACGGTCTTCCCATCATGCTCGCCGTCATCTTCGCCAAGCTCGTGAGTCGCACTCACTTCGTTTTGTGTCTGTCGATTTTTGTCCGCTGCTCGTCTGTGCATCTCCTCCACTTGTCGAGTGCAATCCGATGGTGTATCTGTCAACGTGCATACATGCAGTGTGGTGCAGCTCGAAGTCCCTTCCACCCGCTTAACCTCCTCCCTCATCCCCACCTTCCCCCCCCCCCCCCTCCTCGTGTCACCTCCATTGCCCCCCTACTCTCCCCCCCCCCTCCTCCTTCCTTTTCATCAGGTGGGCGACTACTTCAACGAGGGTCTGTACGACATCCACATTGAGCTGAAACACATCCCGCTGCTGCCCTGGGCACCCCCACCGGTTGCCAGCCACCGCCTCCAAGCGCAGGACTTTATGAGTCGTGATATCCAGTGTGTGCGCATGCTCAATCGCGTCGGCGACATCTACCGGCTGCTGCGCACCAGCAAGCACAATGCCTTTCCCGTCATCGCCTGGTGTGTGTGCGTGCGTGCGTGCGTGTGTGTGTGCGTGTGTGTGTGTGTGTGTGTGTGTGTGTGTGTGTGTGTGTGTGTGTGT